TCATTGTTACTTGCACATAATAATCAAAAGGCTGACAATAAACCTATCAGAATTGTTATTTTATATTTTATATTTTGTAATCGACCGTAATCCTTTGTGTTTACCGAGCCCGGATCACCGGCAAATCAGATGGCATCCTCTCCCTAATGAGAAGCCTACTTCATTTCCATTTCATTCGCATCCCATCATACAAGTACCCCCCCCCCCAGCCCCCTACCCCCCTAAACAAAAATATCACCCCGAATAACCAATGATTGATCGGTTTGGAGTCGGTTTGGCTTTTTACCGGTTTGATCAAAACCCGAGTCGCACCGCCAAACCGATTAAAACTGACAGATTGTTGGTCAATCGTCAAAGTGCTGGTCTGGTTTGTGTGATTGGCGTACGAGATACAAACATCTTGATGCATGTCCTTACCCCCCAATCATGAGCAGTTCTGAACTTTTTATTTTCCAAAATTCACTATTATCCATTCCATCGTAGTGTCAAAAAAATATTTATCAAAGCAACCAATGTGAATTTTTGAAACAAAATTTAACCGAACCTTTGCCACTAATTGTATATAAAATTAGCGGTTTGATATTTTTACACCGCACTGCTCATTTAGACACTTTAGGCTATTTTTACAATGAAGTGGCTTTTTCTTTTTAAATGACAGAGCCTATATTACATTCCTTTGACTCATGACTTTTCTGTGAATTTTGTCCTTTCTACTCTTGTATAATGTGTAATTCTTAGCATTCTGAATCAAAAGATAATGCAAAAACGTCACTAAAAAAAAAAATGAGACGTTAATCAGTGTAAATTCTGTGGCTTCCTTAAACAGGTGCTGTAGCTATCGCTCTTGGTAACTCTGAGGGAATGTCCCCTCGCGATCTCAAGCAGAAGATCATGGATGACACAACTACGGACGTGGTTGCCGACGCTCGACCCGGTTCTCCGAATCGTCTCCTCTATGTGCCATAGGTACCCGAGGAACTGGCCGAGCATCGCATGGCACTAGACCAGTTCGTAAATTAGTACACCGTTCAAAATATACCCGAATATTACCATGACTTCAAACTTTTCTTAAGTGGCAATCTTTAATTGTTCATGGTTATTTTATGTTAAAGTTGATGTGTATAAGTATTGTACTTTGATGGTGTATAATTCATTTTATATGTTTATTATCATGATTAGGTTTTGTAATTTTGTAAAAAGACCATGAAAACAAATAAATAAATCAAATCAAATCAAATATCCACTTGGTAACGTTCTAATTTTTCATCTTAAAATAATTACTTTTGTATTCCCCCGTCTTCTGCTTTTCCTTCTTATTTGTCATCATTCTTCTTTTCCCCGCCTTCCTTCTCTTGCATCTATTTCATAAGTAATAATATGTAAAGTACTTTTGAAGCGCGTAGAAATATGATATTAGGGTGATCATACTGCCTGTGCACACAGTCTGCCCCACGAACACACACACACACACACACACACACACACACACACACACACATCAGTCAGTTGGTAGAAATAGTAATTTTGGTAAATTTATTTTAACAAAACTAAACAATATTTTTAAATTTGTATTTCATATATATTTCGAGCATACCTTTAACTACAATTCTGTGTTGTTCATTGTTATAGGCATGTGGGATATATGTTAAATTATTTAATTAGAATATTGTCTTTTCAGCCATGTGTGACATGGTCCGCTGATCGCCCATTGACTCGCGCTGCTATTCTGCGTGGTGAAAATGCACCTCAATGTATAAAACTCCCCTACAAAAATGCAATATCCTCATGTGTTTCACTCATTGAATCAATTTGTTATTTACACTCAAGGTAGCCACAACTGTACTGGGATCACCAAACTTGTTGGTACTCTAAAATTCAGTCCCTGTGGATTGTTATGGCCTGTTGAACGGTTTCTCGGAAAATCTTCATAAATCCTTAAATCTGATATCTTTTAAATAGCCAAAGATACTGTGATATAGCTGAACGTCTACAAATTCCTATCATACGATCGGTTTTTCTGAAAAATTTGTGAAACATATGAGGAAACAGCTGTGACGGTGATCCAAGTAATTTCTATCGCCATATTTTATTGGCATTGCAAAAATATTTGGAATTTAAGGTTAATACTTGGTGTAAATATGATCTATGAATGTATGATTTTAAAAATGCCCCAAAAATAAACAGTTTGATTTTCATATTTTGCATAATGAGTGGGCGAATATATAATTAGCTGAAATGACCTAATTTGCATATTTGATGAATATTCGATTTTTTTTTTAATATTTCAAATGAAATATATTTCCATACCTGTCTGATATACATAGGTTTCACTGATGTATCATGTCCGGTTTTGATTTGATCACATATGCGCATATTAATTAGGCGGACTTCACATCTGCAGATTGATTCGCAAAAATGGCAAAAATTACTTATTTTGTTGGCTTCTGTCTTCAAAACGGTAATAGATATATGAATTTTCTTATTTTTTATTTTATACCTCAAATGATATTTTAGTGTCTGATAATTTAATTCATTATTTGTGTCCCAGAAAGTGATGAATTAAGTTGTTAACTTTGTCGAATTTTGCCATTTTTGCCAATTTGACCATTTCTGGCAGGTTTTTCGGTAATTTTGTGATATCAAACAAATGGTATAAAATCACAACGCATTGACCGATTTCAATTCTGTTTTTTGTTTTTTGAAGCTTTCATAAAGCTTGATCATTTGCAACCATCAAATAACATGTGTTTGTTGTAATTATTTTTGGTGTGCTATACCTAATAATATCAACTACGCTATACCAGCTTATCATTATCATCTTATTCCCTGCTAATCGCTGAGCTGAAATCTATATTCTCTTAAATATGAATGTTCTATCACATCGATATCGTGATATTGTTTTATAATCTAAATTGATGGTTCGGGCCAGAACTACATACTACGTTGTTTTAACAGAGACAAATTGCAAATTAAAGACCTACACATTCAGCCCTTTACAACAGCCTTTTGTCAACTCATAAAATAATCTTAACATGATTCTCTAGCCACCATGGATTTAATTTGTTGTCTTTGACTCGATTTCTTGAGAGGCTTTGCGACCACGTTCTAGAGGAAAAACAGTCCTGTCCCTACTTGCTCCTTGTTCTTCTTTTGTCGTTTTTACTAGTGGCTTTTCGCCCCCCCCCCCCCCCGATTCACACGCTGATGGTGGGATGAATCGCAACTGATCTCTCCCCTTCTGTTCATCCTTTTCTTTTCTGTTCCCTTTTTTTTTTTGTTCCCTTTTAGCTCTACTCTTTAACTTTCCGTTCCTTTTCCCCTTTTTTGGCGAGAGCGAGGTGGAGGGAGGGGGAGAGGCAAGGGATTTGCCTCTCCCTCGATCCACTTGTTGGCGAGAAAATCGCAACTGATATGCCCCTTCTTTTCTTTTCTTCTTCCTCTTTTTCCCCCTTCACTTTATCTCCTCTTTTCCTTTTTCATTTCCCTTTCCTTCCTTCTCTCTTATTGTTATTTATAATGAGGGGGTAGGCAACAGCCTGGAAGGCAAGGCTCTTTCGGCCGCCCCCCCCCAGATCCCCTCCATTTTCTTCCATTTTCCATTTTCTTTTCTTCTTCCTCTTCTTTCCCTTTCTCTCTTCTTTCCCTTTCCCTTCTCTCTCTCTCTCTCTCTCTCTCTCTCTCTCTCTCTTTTGTGGGGGGGGGGGGGATCCGTGCCTGGTAGTTGTAGTAGTATATAGTAGTAGTTTTTGTAGTAGCATTCTACTCACCATTATAATTAAAACATACAATGAGAAAAACTTGCTGGACGAATAAATAAAATCAAATGAAATCAAATGTATTGGAATGAAATTCACCATTTTTGGTTATGCCATGCACAAGTATCATAAGTATCAAACATTTTCATAATGGGTTACAAGACAGTGAAGCGTTGAAAATTCATCAAGTATACAAAAATGATCAATATGCAATTACAAAAGGAGAAGCATATACAGTGTAATATAATTACCATTGCACTAGTAATAACAAAAATCAAAACTAAACCAAGTTAAAGTGAAAGAGGATACATTAGAAGGAGTAGAGGAAGATAGTTCAGTAGAGATATATACCAGCAATAATGAAGCAAAAGTAATGCCGGAATCTCCGGAAATCGCGAAAACCTCAACTAACGAAAGAGAAAGCAGAAAAGAAAACAAAAGTCCAAAAACAAACATAACAAGAAAACGTAAAAGAACGATGATACTTTTTACTTGATGTTGCTATACTTTATCTTAATACATAACTAGGAACATTCGATTATTAAGCTTAAATGTACGTGGAATGAGAGAGTATACATAAAAGAAAAAGATTTTCAAGTTTTGATATGATAAAAATATCGTTTATAACATATTTGCAAGAAATACATAGTACGGTAGATGAAGAAGTGTTTTGGAAGGACCATATAAAAAGTAATGTGTATTTTATTCACGGAACGAATAATAGCCGTGGGGCCATCATTTGTTTTAGGGAAGGGTTAGATTATACGATTCAAAATATACTCATAAATAAAGGATATATATTATAATGAGGGTAGGAATATGGGAAAGATGTTCTTGTTAACGAATATTTATGCTCCAAACATTTACCAGGAGCAGACGAAGTTTTGGTCTGAATTGGGATTATGATATCATGTTTTTAACAGGAGGAGATTTCAATGTGGCTATGGATCCAAAGGTAGATAGAATGAATAGTTCAAGCAGTACGTCCTACGCACATCTTAGTAGAGAACACATTGTTATGGTACTGAATGATTTCGACATAAGTGATATATACCTGAATTTTGTTAATATTATTAATGTACTTGGTACTTATGTTGGTATCGGATCATATTCATGTTAAAAAAGCAGAAGAAATATCATCATTATTACAAGTCACTTTAAACATGTAGAAAATGGGAAATTTAACTTATTCGGAAAAATTCAAATTATCAAATCCTTTGGAATGTCAAAATTTATGTACATGTTTTCATCTTTGTTAGTACCAAACTGGCTCTTAAAGAAAATGGGGAGTATGTTTTTCAAATTTATTTGGAATGGACCTGATAAAATTCAAAGGAATGTAATGATCCAGGATTTGTCAAGGGAGGAATTAAGATGGTAGATGTTTAGCCAAACTCAGCGTTCAATGGCACAAATCTTATATGATTCTGGAGGCATAGAGAGCCCAGGGTGACCTCGCATGCTGTGGGTTGGTTGGTCGGGAGGAAGCTTGAAGTCGAATTGCTGGAAGAGGTTGGCGAAGAGCAAAAATGATTCCATCTTGGCAAGTTGCATACCAAGGCAATCACGACGGCCTGCCCGGAGAGGAGGAAAATGCCGATATTTGGTAAATTGATGACTTGGAGAATTATTATAACCATTCTTTTTCTCACTAGTCATTTACTAGAATTCAGACACCATTTCTGCAATAATCTATAACGCAATCCGCCCAATGCCTCCTCCCGTGCCGGATTCGCTTACAGTAGCTATCAACATGACGTGAGAAATTTTGGTACAGACTTGAACACGATTAGTTCCTCATACCCCTTCACTTTAACATTTTTCAAAATCCCAAAGAGTTGCTTTTATTTTTGCCTATTTAACGCTTGCATAATTGTAAGTATCAGGTATAGACCATCAAGTATAAACTGTTCTCCTTTAACCTATTTTCAGGCTCCAGTTGTCTTTCATGGGAGAAACTCTACTATGACAGCATATGGGAGGAAATAGGCGAAATGTGAACGGTGTATTATAATTGATGATACATTACGAGTTCATTCCCTAAGAAGAGGAACACGAGCTATCTTACCAATGCTGAATGGCATCCAAGCCTCGTTCTTCACGACTGTTTGACCATCAGCACTGAGAAATCTGTCTGGGTTGAATAGGTGTGGTTCACACCACTCCTTGGGATCATGATGAACAGCCCACAGGTTAGGGATAACGATGGTCCCCTTAGGAAGAGTATAAGGTCCAAGGGAGACATCTGCAGACGTCATGTGAGGCAGAGAGACCGGGATGACGGGACGGATGCGCATAATCTCCATCAGGGTGGCGTCGCAGTAGGGAAGGTTTGGGCGGTCATTGGTGTTGGGTTGTCGGCCACGCCCAACAACTACATCCAACTCAGTTTGTACCTATTGATGAAAAAATACACTTTAAGATTCAACCCCTTATATGCGTATTTTAACAAAATGTATGCTAACTTCTCGGGAAATGTTATCCCCCCCCCCCCACTCGACCATGTCATGTCCATAATGGATGTTTACGTATCGTCATGCTACACCCCCTTTAACAGACAGTATCATAGATTTTCTGTGGTTTTTTTTTAAATTAAATTTTTACTCAAGAAAAGGAATAAGGTAAGAATTCTTTGAAGATTTTATTTGGTGAATTCGGTATATAACTGATATATGGACTGCTTTAATATTCGAGACAAAGCTGTTTGGGGCGCCGCGGCGCGCCTCGGGGTCATATCAGGATCTTACGTCCCATTGAGCCTATTGAAACAGTCATGCCTCCTCTCATAGCAGTCGATATATCTATACTATGTTATGCGCAAGTGTGTGCGTTTGTGGGTGTGTGGGGGAGGGGGGGGGAGGGAGTAGAGGTGCACCGTGCACGACAGCACATGTAAGATCAAAGATCAACTGATGCCTCAAATCATTAAGTGATAGTTAACAGAGCAACTGCAATTAATGCCTAGTTTTTTTATTTGCGCAAACCAATTTTTACGAGTTTTTCGAAAATAGCAACTGCTCACTCAAGCATAAGATATTGTCAATACACAGGCCCGTAGCCACAGGGGGGGGGGGCATGTTCCCCCCCCCCCCCAAAAAAAATACATGATCGGTTGAACTTTTTTAGACCCCTCCCCAGGACGTCGATCAATTACATGTATGTGCCCTCCCTTTTTTCTGTCTTTCTCTCAATTTTTCTTTCTCGTATCTCTTGTATAGTCCATGATCTAGTGATATTATGAATATAGTGCTTGTACTATAATCAATCGATAATTCAATTAATTAATCAATCAATCAATCATTCTACCTTCTTCTGTACATCTGGGTGAACAGCTAGGTAGAGTATCGCCCATGAAGTCACCACCGCTGTGGTTTCAGTGCCCCCGGCAAAGAAATCCAACAAAATCCTCCAGAACTTGTCCAGGGAGTAATCTTTCGAGATATCGTGTGCTAGGAACGCGTCAACGAAGTCCCGGATATTATCTTTCTGGAAAGTTTCTTGATGGTTGTTGAGATGAGACATGATGAAGTCCCTTAGCTTGAACGTGCAATCGCGGTAGGGTTTGTACCACGGAGTATGAACAAGTGATTCAAAGACATTAACTGGATCAGTATCTGAGACGAGGCTGAAAATATCCGCCATTGCCTCCAGAGCTCCAATAAATTCGGGATCGTCGTACTCATATCGACGACTGAAGATTAGCTGAACTATGATGTTAGCAGTTGCTTTATTCAACACACCCGATAGATCCATTGGTTCACCATGTAGAGCCTTGATTTCATCAGCTAGATAACGAGCCTCAAGGTTGATCTGAGGTACTAAGCTCTTCTTACCAAAGCCGAAGGAGCGAAGAGCAGGAAGGGAGAATTTTCGCTGGTCATCCCATGGCTTGCCATTACTCCAACTAATGGAAGCTGTAAGAAAGATGAAGCAGATTTGGTTTAAAATAATACATACACATACAGCCTCAACTCTGTTTGCCTTCATGCTCATGGAATTTTGTAAACTAGAAAAACTTCAATGTTTTCAGGGTAAGTTCCTTTTTAAATCGTAAAGATTATATTTTATTATAAACAATTTGAATACGCCTTTTTAAGAATCCACGAGCGGGATGTGGTATAAAGGCCTACTTTACCATTCTTTTCAGCATCTGGAATTCCCCATCTGATATGCCCTGGTACGAATCGTTCTGAAAAAAATTCTCCTGACTTCACCAGAGCTTGTTTCATACTCTCCCTGTCGTTCAAGACAACGAAGAGAAACGGGCCTCGCCGAACGCTGAAAACTGGCCCATACTTCCTCGTCAAGTCCACGAAAGCCTCGTGAATTAGACCCGAGTCGAATCGGTATCCGATGATTGGCAGCGACCATGGCCCGGGTGGAAGGTTTTTTGGACGCCGAACGAACCATAAACAGAAGAGAAACCCTAAAACTCCGAGTAATACTGACGTTGATGATAGGAAAAACATATTTAGTTTTTTACAATACAGATGAAATTAAAATGATGAGTATACTATGAATAGCTAGTGCACGTAAATGTATCCCATCAAATCGTAGCGAATCTATTAGGCCAACGCACAACACCAATATACAAATAGTATAACAAACACTCCAGTGCGCTGTTCAAGGTAACAGACTGGCATTGAAAACAACAAGTAAGTGACCTGTGATCTGGCATGTTCCCAGCAGGGGCGTAAATCCCGGGGGATGGGGGGGGGGGGGGGCTGCATCCCCCTGGCTTGAAGTAGGGGGGGGTATGGCCTGTACAATCATCCACCCCCCCTGATATTACCAAAAAAAGAGAGAAAAAAAAGGAAGAAGAAGAAGAAAAAAATGTGATTGTTTCAATTTCAGCATAATGCATGAGAAATGAGTTATTTTTTTTTTATGTATGTATAACTGTATAGCCTACACGTATACATTATGTCACTATCATTACGAATAGTTGCGAGACGTGCGCGAAGAAGCACTTCATAAACTTCAGAATAATTTTTCGTTATTTTGAAAGGTATTATTATAGCCCAGACGTAAAGTGCGCCAGCGCGCGAGCGCTTAAAAAGTGCAATCATGTACAGTAGATGCCCGGCCTCCCCCCATTAAATGTTATTTAGGGTACGCGTATGCTCGTTCCCTCCCTTTGAGAGCACCCCCACCCCCACTCTATCTCAGGACTGCCAACATTTCTGAATCCCCCTTTCGCCGGCTTTTCGCTGGCTTTTCCTGCCTTGGAGACCCAACCCCCGAATCCGGAACACTGCTAAATGTACCCCATCCCCCCCCCCCCCCAAAAAAAAAAAAAAAAAAAAAAAAAAAAATTCAGGTGAGCTCTAGTCGATCGAGGGGGACTGGGGGCCGATGTTTTTACTTTTTAACATGAAATAATCCTGAATGAGCTTTCAAAGCTAGCAGGAATTTCAGGAATGTGATCCCGGGATTTGATCAATTTTTCTATGAAATTCAAGATATTTTATAACCTCCTTTCTACATTTCTCAGGAGTCCAAAGAGAGAGAGAGAAAAAAAACCCACCCCCTTTTTAAAGAAATTAAGAGTCGAGAATGGTACAAGGAATCGTCTTCTTTCTCTAATGATTTAATGAAACGTAAAAGCTTCCGCGCTTCGCGCGGGAGGGGGAAAGGGAAAAACTAAATTCAGATGAGGATTAAAAGTCGAGAACGGTACAACTAATCGTCTTCTTTCTCTAATGATTTAATGAAACGTAAAAGCTTCCGCGCTTCGCGAGGGAGGGGGGAAGGGAAAAACTGAATTCAGATAAGGATTAAAAGTCAAGAACGGTACAATGAATCGTCTTCTTTCTCTAATGATTTAATGAAACGTAAAAGCTTCCGCGCTTCGCGCGGGAGGGGGGAAAGGGAAAAACTGAATTCAGATGAGGATTAAAAGTCGAGAACGGTACAACGAATCGTCTTCTTTCTCTAATGATTTAATGAAACGTAAAAGCTTCCGCGCTTTGCGTGCAAGGGGGGGGGGGGACTGAATTCAGACGAGGATTATTTTCGAGAACGGTACAACAAATCGTCTTCTTTCTCTAATAATTTAATGAAACTTCAAAACTTCTGCGCTTTGCGGAGGAGGGAGGGGGAAATCGCCCCTCCCTGCCCCCCCCCCCATTACGCCAATGCTGGTCACCATTACGTACCAATATTTTGCTCGCATAATTTCAAATTTGGCCCCCCCCCCCCCTAAGAAATCCTGGATCTGTGTAAACTATGTATGCATGTATAAATTTATGTACATGTGTTAGGGTATGTGTGTGTTTGTTGTTTGTTCGTTTGGGTGTGTGCGTTTGTGTGTGTGTGTGTGTGTGTGTGTGTGTGCGTTGTGTGTGTGTGTGTGTGTGTGTGTGTGTGTAGTGTGTTGTGTGTTTGTGCGTGCGCGAACGCGCGCGCTTGCTTAAATTAGTGTGGGCGTGTGCTCGTGCTAGTATGTGATGGCTATCGCCGATCATCCCCCCCCCCCCCACTCCTCGGTACGGATTTACGCCCCTGGTTCCCAGGCATATAGAGATGACTCTACATATTATCACGATGGCCTGGGGATTTATTCTGTGTTTTTCTCTCTATTACGAATATTAAATGAACTTCACCCATCACGTGCTTCATGTCAAAGTCCTGGGTCAAAGTGCAGCGTGTAGCAGGCAGTGTTCGAAATTGTAGTATGTACGCAATCTCCTCTTTATTTTGTTATAGGTACACAATTTATATTATATGTGATCATTTTATTTAAGAGAAGGAATAGAATATGATAGTAATGAAATCATGATATACTTTCTTTTCACATGATGTGCATACCTTTGAAGTGAATGTCTTTAGACATTAGAACAATGTTTTTAATAATGATGAGGGAAGATGCGCCAAATTCACACTTGAGTGGGTTTAAATCTTGGCCTGCGCCCATATGTTTCATCAATATGCAAACTTTCCTCTGTGAAATGCATAATAAATTCGTTTTCGAGGATTGGCAAGGAAAATAGATAAACAGTAGAAACAGACCATGAATAAAGAAATAAACAGCTGGTTCGATTTGTTTTGAAGCATTATATTGAAAGACCCGGACAGCTTTATCTTTATTATCCATATAAATAACGTCAGTCTATAATCACTGTCAGACGGGAGAAAATACCAATACGAAATGCATTAAGCAACGTCTAGACGTAAAGGTCGAATCTCAACTTTATTTTTCTCATTCTTCTTTACATTTCAAAGCGTTGCATGGGATCTTAATCCTTTTTTTCTACAAACTGTACATACATCAATGCCCCCATTTAAGCATACTTTGAATCTGGTCACGCTTCGAAAAGTTCGTGGCCTAGCATTTTGCTTCTGTTGATGATCAAATAGAGAAAGCACTCTTTATAGATCAGGGAGAGTGTGAACAAAGCACGAAGTAGGAGCAGTGCAATTTAGAGTTTATTTCTAAAATAAAGTGAAAGGGCCAATTTATTTTCATGAGTCCTTTCACTTCATTGAAGAAATAACCTCTCTTTATACCTTAGAGACACTTTTTCTTGAAAGTCAAATAAACTCGAGAGCATCCTGGGGCTCCGCCCTGGAACCCCCGATCATTCAAGTTTAGACGCGGGTTACCGTGGTGGATTATTTCTTAAATATATATTTTGTGTAATGTGAAAATGAAAACTACGGCAGGAAGACCGTATATCTTATCAGGTGCGGATGTACGGGGGGTCGACGGGCCCACGCTATCCCCCTCTCTTTAAAAAGAAAGGAAATGAAAGGAAGGGAAAGAAATGAAGGGAAGGGAACGAAAGAAGGGCAAACAATACGAGTTAGAAGTGGACCTATAGGGGACTAACTTATCCGTATATAGGCAAAGGCCCCGGTCCAGATAGCTATGCTCCAAGATTTGGGTCGTTTTCAAATCAGTACTAGCCCTAATTCGTATTTTAGGCCTGTTACCCAGGGGCACAGCAGGTTCTTGAGAAATGGAATGTTGTAAAAGGTTGTTGGGTATTAACGTGTTCAGGGGACCTCCCTGCATAATTTCTAGGTGGACTACCTTTGCATAATGCTGCTGAAAAAAAAATGGAGGCCCTTTTGAAAAAGGACCGCCATGTACATGTATTACTACTGTTGTACAATTATAGGGGATTACTTTATAACAGTACCTCATTTTACCCGTATCAAGACAATTACCCCCTGGGCAATCACCCCCCGGAACCCCCCCCCCCCCCGGAAAACTACCCCCGTAGGACGATTACCCCCCGGAAAATTACCCCCGATGACAACTACCCCCCGGGGACAATTACCCCCCCGAGGACAACTACCCCGAGGACAATTACTCCCCCCCCCCCCCCCCATGGACACTACTGGGCATGGTGGCTCAGTGGTTAGATCGCCCGCCTCATGAACGGGAGGTCGTGGGTTTGAACCCCGACCGAGTCATACCAAAGACTTTACAATGGGACCTTCTGCCTTCAAGCTAGGCGCTCAGTTTATTAGATTGGAGAAGGATAGTAATAACATATTATGTTATGCAGGGCTCACTGGAAGAGCAGTTTCATAACTGAAGTGGCTACCCTGGGTAAATAAAACGTTATTATTACTATTATTACCCTCGAGGACAACTATCCTCCAGGAAAACTATCCCGAGGACAATTGCCCCCCGAGGACAACTACCCCTCCCCTCTTCGATGACAACTCCCCCCCCCCCCCCCCCGATGACAATAACCCCCGGAGGACAACTACCCCCAATGACAATCACCCCAAGGAATGTATAACACTGTGACGTATAACGCAAGCTTCTCTCCAAATTGCTATATACTGAGAATTGCATAAAACATTCATTTTCTTTGTTATTTATGAAGTTCATTTCAGTCTTTTCAAATCATTCAATTCGATATGGGGGGGGGGGTGGAGGCTGCACAATTCCCCTGTAGTTTTGCTACCGAGTAAAGAACAGAAATTACATTTCTTAGAAATTGAACAATACATAACGCGCAGATGAGTACGCGTTACAGCCTCTCTCACCATCAATGGCACAACAAAGAAATTAGGATGTAAGATTTCCTTTATGCATCCTCTGTAACTTTTTTAATCAGCTGATCGTGTATTTGTCTTTGTATGTATAATGGGCCCTCATCCATGCCATGATCCATAATTAAGGTTTTCTTCACGTTATCTATTTATTTATGTTGTCATGCTGAAGTATAATATGTTTTCGTGTACGTTAAATTATTTTAAAATAGAAATTGCCTTCAAGTTATATGTACGGTCCCATGTCAAAAGAAAATAAATATCCGCTCTCTAGTAATTCATCTCATTTGATTTTGTAACTCCAGCACAGCGTTTTTCAACCGGGGTGCCGCAAGAGAATGATTTGGAAGACGTTGATTTTGTAAAAAAAATCAAATACCAGAAACGGGTAAATTATGTAATTACATGAGAAAATAAAAATCTTAAGATACTATTAAGTGTCTTCCTTCCTCGCTCGCTGACAATATTTTGACAGCAAGGCAAATAAGGGCAACGAGAGGCCCGAATATCCTCATATTCGTGTATCAAGGTCATGACCGAATATATCACTTTTTATTTATGTACATTCGGCGGCAAGCTGCCCGCATACAGTACTTTAAATAGTGTGTGGATTACAAACTAGTAGTTGGGGGTAGTTGTTCTCGAGGGGTTATTCTCCGGGGAAATATTCCAGGGGGTAAT